AGAATTTTTAATGGGAAAAAAAGGCTTGGATCAACAAATAACTAAAAAAGAAAGAAAGAAAGAAAGAAAGGCTAAATATGTTATGACCATATGAGGGAATAGAATGCAACAGGCAGGAAAATGTGTTTTCGAAATATGTAAGAAAAAGGGGAGGGAGTTGGACTGGGAGTGTAGCTTAGTGGTAGAGCACTTGCCTAGCATCCAAAAGACCCTAGGTTCAATCCCCTATAAAATATGCAAAATGAATGAAACAAAATTGTATGCCATGTTAAAAAGCTATATCTAGCTGTTGATAAAAAGTAGGAAAGAGTTCAAAAAATAACTTTTCATTGGAGGAAAATTTTAAACCTAATTTCCTTAAATGATGCAGTTTTGAAAATCCAGTCAAATGGTCTCTTTTCCTAGGATGCAGAAAAATGCTAGTCTTTCTCGAGATAGGGACCTTATTTTTTTTAATTTTTTATTTTTTGGTCATTTTTGAGACAGGGTCTCCCCTGTAGCCCTAGCTGGCCTGGATTCACTATGGAGACCAGGCTGGCCTCGAACTCATAGAGATCCCCCTGCATCTGCCTCCTGAGCGCTGGGATTAAAGGCATGCCCACCATGCCCGGCCTGGGACCTTATTTTCTGATCTTTCTGTCCCTTCCTAAGCATCTACCTCTGAGCTGGGCAGAAAGCACATCCTCAGAAAATACCACTAGCCAGTCTCTAAAACCCAAGCAGACTTACCTTAAACATCATTAGTTATTTATCCACACGTCCCCAGTTCCCTCCGGCCCTTTACTCCTGTCCAATACTAGTTGAATGGCCTTAAGCAACCTTCAACTTCAGTTTCCCTTGATATTATAATGCATCCTGGATACTGGGGAAAGAGCAGGAGAATGCAAGAGGAATGGAAGCAAGGGGCAGTTTGAAAAGGCGAGAGGCAGCCCCCCGAAAGCCTAGTGGGGGAGGGAGGACGGTGGATCTCCCCACTTTTACAATGCCAATGCCGATTGGTGGCCGGCAGCTGCTGTCCTGGCTCGGAGTCTGGTCTCAGTAGAGTTGCCACGCCCACACATCGGGGTGTCCCTTTCAGCCCTGACTGTGCAGAACTCTGCTGGCCAAAAACAGCCCTGTCTCTTTAAAGACAGTAGGTCTGAGGCAGCGCTAAACTCCGGTCTAATAATATCATTTATTCTCCATGACAAGTGCTGGACTTGCCCAGGTAACTTGGCTAAGGCCATGCTGGTTGTGACCCCACAAGGACTGGCTCCAGAGCTCGCACTCCTGAGGATTGCAGCTGGGTCCCCTGAGTGCTTCCAGCCCAGAGAAGGGTGTGGATCCGGACTGGACCTGCGAACCCACCCAATCCCAGCGAGGCGGGCTGCCCTGCGGGGCACCTGCACACAGGACAACTGAGGGGCTGCTACTCTTCTGTAAAAAGAACGAAACCCAAACTCAGAGCCTTGCCAAGTCTTTGTGGCCGGGTCCCAGTTAGAGAGCGCTCACTCTGATGCTGGGTCTGCATGTTCTGTGCCTGCGCGCACACGCCGCTGGTCCCCTCGCCGCTCCAGCCCCCTTGGCTGCCGGACCCGAGGGTGCGACTGAGCAGGGAAGTAGACTCCTGATTCGTCTTTTCTCGGACTTCCTGATCTCCCCTAGACAGAACCTGAAGTGGCCCTTTGGGATTGGGCGCCTCTCAGATTTCAGTTGCACAGAGCATGCTTTGTGGCACCGCCCCCCAAAAGGACTCCTGGGCAGCAAATTTGGCTGGTATACACCCGGGCTGGTGTGGACAGATGAGTTGGCAAGTCAGGGGCCAGCCCTCTACCTAGCAGATAAATAGCCGGACTAGAGAGATGGCTCTAGGGTTAAGAACACTGTTCTCAGGCTCGAATCCCAGCACCCACATGGCAGCTAACAACTGTCTGTAACTCCAGTTCGAGGGGATCTGACAGCCTTTTCTGTCTTCTGCGGGCATTGCAC